AGGCCCGGGGGCCCGCGGACCTGCCGAGGGAGGACGACGGGAGCTTGGGCCTGTCTCCAAGGCAGGACCTGCTCGGCAGGGACTCGCGGGCATGACGGACGACTGCGCAGCGCCGTGTTTTATGTTATTTCAGACCTTCTCCAGCTGCGATCCCTGCTGCATGGAGCTTACAAAAATTTGCCTAGGGGGGAGCCGGGCTCCAAAGGCAGAGCGTTTGCCTCCGTCCGTGATCCAAAAAAGCTCTGAAGTGTTAATAAGGGGATGCTTGCGGATATTTAACAAGCGTGTCCTCCAGGATTGCAACAGTACCCCGTCCCGTGTGTGAAGGGATCTAGGGACAGCTTCATTAACGCGGTACCGTTGAACGCCGATACCGCTAACCTAACGGACCCCGAGAGACGAGCGTTTCCTCCCCTAGCTACGAAGGGCCACGTTTCCTGGCGAGGCACGGCTCCCCTTGAAATTCTGATTTGTTGCATGTTTAATTCATCAAGTTTTCAATGACAGCATCAAGTTGGACTGCAACACAACGGCCGGACTGCAGTCAAAAACTGCCGCATCCCAGGCGGCTGCTTGTCAAATGAAGAGGCTTTAAAGCTGACTTACACACGCCAGCTCTTCCTAAGCGGGAGCCCCAGCCCGTTCCAGCAAAACAAGCTGAAATTTCATTTTGTCTCTTTGAAAAGAATACATCAATCTGGTACACTTTTAAAAGAGCGATACCAAAAGAGACACAGACGTAGTCCCCAAAGGGTATGTTGCTTTAATTAAATATGATATTAAATGGAATAAAATCCCGACTTTAGGTAAACGAAACTTTTGGATTTCGTGCTAAAAGACACAACGTGAGTATATCTCAAGGTCTTGAAATCAATCTCTTTTCAAGCCTTCAAATTTTGGTGACGTTTTCAATAAGGTCTAATCAGCTTTCGAGGAACTTGGCTATTGCTTCAATTCAGTAATCCAGTTTCCTTATTTTCTAGGCCCATTGCAATTCTCTTTTCCTCTTATCTTGGTTTTAGTTCTTGTTCCTTTCACATTATCTCTATCATTCACTGCTCTCTGTCTCACTTTTCTTCCTTCCTTCCTTTTTTCCCCATTTTTAAATTCCTTCCCCGTTTTAGCTATTTTTTCCCATTCATCCCTATTCCTTTTCCTGGTCTATTCATGAGAACTTTTTTCTGCTTCATGTTCATGTATATTTTTAACTCTTAATACAATTGAGAGAAGATCTTAATTAAGATAAATCTTAATTCAAATAGTTCAAACAGTATTTTAAGGAACGGAGCGTCTGGAATATTGTTATTGCAGGATTATTCTACTTCAGTTTCAAATTAGCTGTGCTGACTCTGCTCTTCAGTGCCAGGATGGTTTGCCTCATTTAAATATGTGTGCCGCGTGATTTCATTCACTCCGTCCTTCACTGGAGCTCTCTCCTCTCTAAGACTCATCAAGATGAAAATGGCACCCTGCAGCTAGACCAGGAAAAAGTGTACTGCGTCCAATAAGAAACAAATAAATTGCAATCCGAGGGAGCAGGAAGCTGTGCGGCTACTTCAGCCCGAGGCTCCATCCATCACTCGTCCCTGCCCGTTTCCCTTGGTAAGCAGCACCGGGCAACACTTCCTCCCCTTGGCTGATGTCTCCGTATGGGAAGATGGTGCGAGTGTATAAAGAAAATGCCTTGTTTTGCACATTAGGCAAGTCACAAATTAGCCCCAATTATAATGATAAATGGCATCTTTGTATTTGGTGCCTTTCTTTTAAGTGTGGAAAGTTAATTGGTTTCATACCTTTCTTCTTACAGAGTGGCATTTAGCACCTCTTCATTTTAACAATTAGTTTTCAAGGCAATGTACTTTCATGACGTATTTTCATTATTTTGTAGCGTAGATCTTCATTAACCTTCTCTTAGTGTTTTGAATGAATGTTAATTAACAAGTTTGTTTTGCAGTTTCATGGCAACCCCTTCATCACACAAAAGCATTCAGGGTGAATTATCATAATGAAAAGCCCTCCGTCACCTACTTGAAATCCAGAAGTTGCAATTCGTGATGTTGATCTCCCCGGACTGTCTTTAAATTTGAGCTTTGATCAGAATTGGAAGTCTCTATCTTCCCTAATAGCTGCATTACCTAATGAGAATTCAACAGAGAACACTTTTATGAGCCAGACTATCAGCACCTGTATTTAAGTACGCGTTATGATTGCGAGAGTGGGAAAAGCAGCTGACATCAAGGTACAGCTACATTCTCGCAGATAATTTCATTCAGTGAACACAGAAGACTTGCGCTCAGAGTCACTAAGACTTTTAGGACTGTAAGACCTACTGAAGTCAGAGTCCTTGTGGACATGGGCTTTGCAATTACATTCAGTGAAGGGCAGTAGCTTTTTATGTTTACAAAGCACTGAGCACCATTCAAATCTCCACAAAGGTGGTAGGAACTAAGGCGTAAATCTTTGGAAGCCTGAGTATGTCGCAACCCTTCGGCTGCCTGCCACCTCAAGGGATCCAAATGGCAGAGAAGGAAAGAGGGATTCGCTGGGAATATTAAACGTTTCCGTCCTCAGAGTGCTAAGATGGCGTATGGGAGACCCCCTTCAAACATCCTTTCATGAGTTTGGACTTGGATGTGCATCCCCAACACTACATGGCATTGCTCCACCCAGGTGGTGGCCTATCCCACAATTTTCCTGTTGGAGCTGCTCCCTTTCGTATGATCGTTCGGTTTTTTTTTGGGTGAGAGAAAGCAACGTCGGTTCAGTCACCTAACAGAGTGGTTCAGGGCCCTCACCAAGGGTGCAGAAAGCCTGGCAAACTCAAGCTGTTGGCAAGCTCAAGCACCCTGTCCTCCAGGAGCCCCAGTCTGCCTGGACGGCCCCATCGCCCACCCTCCCTTGGTGGTGGCGGCCTGGTGGTGGCCAGCCCTTCTGCCAAGAAGGGCTGGAAAGGACTAGGCTGAAAATTGTTTCCAGTATTCAGAGGGTTTGACACGAGCTGGGGTCCTGGGCTGCCGGTGCAGTGCCAGCACGCGTGTGGCTTTGCACATGATAATCAGTAGAAAGGGAGATGCTGGGGGCTCCTGGGGTACAACAGGGCTCAGCAGCTGTGCAGTGGCTTGAGAGCACTGTAGATGCGACAACGACTGCAACTGCTATTTGAAGAGTATAGATGTCCGAGTACCTTTGGAAGATTGAGCACCGAGTGAAACAGGAGATTTAAAATCATTAAAAAAAACATTTTTGGCATAGGCTCACCCTCCTGATTTTGAGCTGTGCAGCCTGCGCTAAGTCACTTGTAACCTTCCTCATGGAAAAGTGAGCTTAAAGGGCAGTCTGAAGTCAGGATTCGGCCTGCCTCCCCCAGAAGAATAAAGTAGAGGGGATGTGAAATCCCGACACATTTCTTCAGAGATTTTATAGCAGACAAGCAGAGAAAATACCTTAGGGAGGAGATGCCGTTATCGGTTTGGTAGCCTTGGCTTGTGAATGTCAAAAAGGAGCTACCAAGGGCTGACGCCATGGCAGACTTTAATTTTAGTGTTCTGCAAGGAAAACTGTAATCCTCTTGGCAATTAGAAAATAGTGTTAGACGCAAACTACAGAGGGCCTTTTTCTGACTTGCTGCTTTACTCCATTGCAACGAGAGACGGTTCCTTCTCAGAAGCCTGTTCCTGTGCTCCTTTCTTAAAATCGCCTGCAAGTAATTTTTCCCTCTACAGCTGAGAAAGTTTGTTCTACATCCTGCTTAATGTCTGCACTGACTTGTTTTTACATGCTTTTGTGTACTGCTTCGTGTGATTCTGACGCACACCTGCTCCGCTCGCCGCTTCCAAATGAACAAGAGCGTTTTTTTTATTCGTGTTCAAGGAGACAGATGTCCAAACAGTATCTTATAATAGAATTCCAGGTAAAATATCTTCAATTAAGAACTGTCATGAGTAATTCTACTTTGGAAAAGAGGAAGCTTATATAGGCAAGGGCTTTTTTTAAAAAAAAAAAAAAAAGACTGGAACCATGTCTTGCACAGCAGAAGATGTAGTTAAATTACAGTAATAAGACTGTATTTGATACCAAAATGTAATACTAATGCATGGGGAATTTTGTCTCCTACATCTTCTATCCAGCTCAACCCTGACAGACATGGATGGTGTTTAGTTTGGAGCAGGAGCAGAGAACTATCGTTCTGCAGGCTTAGAAAGCTGAAGTTTCCCCTACAGCTGGATTGTTGTGAAGTGTCGCTGTTAAGGTTCCTGATGCTGTTAGAGGCCGAGTGCTCCAGAACTGCTGTTGAACATAGTAAACCTCTCACAAGGAAAGGCCAGTTATAAGGAATCATATGCAGCAGCAGTATTTATTTCCTGTGGGCGTACCCACCCTACACACACACACACAAAAAAAAATCACAAAAAATACCATTTTTTAAAACTGTGGAAGCAGTAGAGTCTCAACAGCATTTGAAATACTGCTAAAATTCGTATGGAATTGGGTATACTGTTAGCTATCTGCCTGCCCCCCCCTTAAAACTAAGTGAATAACAGTGGATTTATGTGACCTTTTCTAATTCCAAAATGCTAGCAACTGAAATTTCCGAATGGGGTTAAAATACAGAGTAATGTTTTGATGCAAGGGTCTTTTAAGTCATATTGAAAAACTGTAATGGATCATTTATGATTTGAGGATCCTCAGATCCTGGAATATTTTTATTTTCTGTTATTACCTTACAACTACATTTAAACATCCCTACCATTCTACAGTATCATGGAAAACTTATTTTAATAAAATGTGGACAAATTGTCTAAATACTGTATCCATCACTAATACTGGTCAGCCAATTTTTAGAGGAAACTGTATACTCATAGTGCCTGCTCGACAGTATTTCGCTATAGGCTTCTATACTTACCTTCTTCTCAAAATCGCTAACAGACTTTTCAAGGGCAGAGCGAACACCATAAATCTCTTTGTCAATCTTGCGGGCCTCATGCCTAATAACATTGATGTCTCCTGCTAATTTTGCAATGCTTGCTTCACATCTAGAAAAAAACCAGAGATTTACTGGAAGGCAAAAAGAGCGTCTGCGTTGTAACGCTCACAGTGGTCTTCTAACCGACAGCCGCAGCGCCTCCCTGCCTGCAGCTGGCTGACCCGATCCCGTCTCCAGGAGCCGCCTTGGCTGATGGCAGCGTAGGTGTCCTCCCAGACACCATTCCTCTAGACATCACTGCTGAGCTCTGCCCGAGCTGAGGGCAAAGGAGCGGAAGGCAGTCGGCGTACAGCAGGCAGGCCCCTAAATTGCCGCGGTGGATGTTTGCTCTTGGCGTTGTAAAATCTCCTGGCCTTTCAGCTCCCGCTGACCCAATGCGACCTAAGGGAGCTGTTTGCTGCATCTGGCTGGTTCCTCCCTCGTTTCCCAGTATCTAATCTAATGGTTAGAGGGTTAAACTAAATCTAAAATGTAAACTGAGAGGCTAATCTGAACTCCTACCACTTGTAATTTTTGGATTACTACCAGAAGCGTGGGAACGCTCAGATGGTGCGTTGCTGCAGCGAGCGTCCTAGCTTGCAACATCCTCCAGTTGCAAGTAGATGTTAAGGAAGATAATGTGGGGGCAGTTACAGGCAAATAAACCTTACCGCTTTATAAGCAGCATTTGTCATTTTCTCTTTAAAAGCTTTCAGGTGCATTCACCAAAATCTCTCTTCGCATTTGAAATGGACTAATAAATCATTTGAGAGCGATGGCATTAATGCAACAGTGAAGTGACTAGAGCGCGTTAAACCAGCTATCCTTTTTGGGTAGTATAGGTGACGGAAGCGGTCTCTTGTCCTTAGAGTTTTTTTTTTTCAATGCGAGCAAGAAAACAGCCTTCCTGCCTCTGTGCTCCTCCTTCGCTGGGAGAGGGCTGGTCGGAGGTGTTTGCAGCGACGTGGAGAAGGCCACATCAGGCACTGCCCTCCGGCGTTTAGGGCTGCAGACAGCCTTGCGCGACCGCTTCCCCGCCTGGCACGTGTCTGCGTACCTAAAAAGTCGTTTCGTCACTGTAGGCGTCCCGGACTCTCTGCACTGCCCCGCAGGAATATCCATCTGCTCTAATGGTAGTAGTATTTATAAGAAGGTTGTTGAAGCAAATATCCTAAGGCCACGAAGTAGCGACATTTAGTAGAGTGACATAAGTGACAACTTCATATAAATAATGGAATAGAAGTTGAGTAAGACAAACAGCTGAGTTATAAAATGCCAGAGAAATTATACTCCAGAGCACCAGACTGTTCAGAATAAAGCCAGCGCTGTTGACAGATAAAGGATCTAAAGAGAAATTTTGACAGTTTAAATAGACCTGCTTTTTGCCATCTTCTCATGATTCTCAGATGTTGTGATACACCTACAGAGCATTTAGATCACGGAAATCAAAAAAACGTTACGGCAAACAACAGCAACTTTGTACTAAGGCCAGAACTTTGCGTGAAAGAAGCTATCGATTGGGGAAACGACTGCAAAATAACTAGAATGGTGAAAGGCAGGTTTTGAGAGAGAGAGAGCAAGGCTGCTCGTTAAAGAGCTTACTCAGCAGCCTCGGCAGGGGCAGACCGAGAAACGGCGCCCCGAGCGGAGCAGCTCGAGGGAGAGGAGAGGGAGCAGCTTTGCCAGGGAACCGATAGCCGGAGGCTGCCTCCGAGGGCCGGGAGCGGGGCCAGCTGGGCCCTGGAAAGCTGCCGCAGCTCAGAGCGGGCAAGCAGAGGTCTTCTCGCACCTGTACCACTGAATTTGACGCCGCGGCTTTCTAAAAGCGTTGATTTCGCGGGACTACAGAAAGCCAGCTCACTTCTCACTTCAGTTTCCTAATGCATGGGGCAGCTGCACAGGGGAAAACACTTTATCTATATATAATTCAAATGTATTGAAGAGAACGCGTATATGCATAACTGAAATGAGGTTCAGGTTAAGATTCAAGGTTTGTTACTAACTGAAGGCATGGGTCAACCTTCTCAAAAGAAATCAGGGAAAATGGGCCTCCCTCTGCTTAAGAAATTCCCCCCCCTCAGAGCAGCAATTAGAAGACTTTGCAATAAGCAAAGGGAGAGGATTAATGCACCTATAGCAGTAAGAAGATGCAATTTCAACTGCAAGACTAAAAAAGAAACCTAAATATTGGATACAGAGAATACTTAAAAATGAAGGATTTAAAAACATCATACAAAAAGACTGAGAATTAGCCTTGCATCAGTGGATTAATTCAGCTATTTCTATATTATTGGGCAGCCAAAGTGGCTAAAGCAGTTGTCTGGGGCCTCTGGAGACCCCAGATACCTTGCATACCAGGCACGCACTTCCTGGCTGATGTCTGTTAAGTCCCTAGGCCTCCTTATATCTCACTTTTCCTATGCATAATATCATTATCATTATTTTTGCAAAGTAGCTGCATGCATATTGCATACACAGTTTGGTAGATTTTGTCCTGAAGAGAACAGGGATACTTGAGACTTACTTAAATCTTGATCTACTTTGATATTTCATATGGGACACAAACAACAGCTTAGGGCGAGATCTTTGTTTTCCAGTCATCACATAAAAGAGAAGCTGGGCAGTATGGAAATGACAGTGAAGAAGAGTTAGGAAAGGTGTAGAAAGCATACTCTTACGAGATTTGCATACAAAATAAAAAAGTATGAAGAAATAAAAGTCTCTAATAACATATCAGAGCATTTAATTAAAGACAGGAGTACAACCTCCTTGTATATGTTCAAGGAGCTTTACCCTTTTACTGGAAAAAACAGTACATATTAGACCATTGTGTTGAATGAAGCATTGCATTTTCTGAAGAGTCAAGTGACTTCATGGGCACACAGCAGAGCTTTTGATAGTGTGATGCTGTTGCACCTTTCTTTTGCCTTGAGCGGCATAGAGTTTTATGAGAAAAAAGAACTAGTATATTGTGACCCTCAGTGTGAAGAGCAAGGTCTTCCTGTTTATTCTTTCTTTGCTGGTGAGGGTGAAGAGAATAAATGAACCCTTATGAGAGGTGTTGCATTTTGTTACTGTCGATTAGCTTGTTTTTATTACTGCAATATATGTTCCTGTGCCCAAAGTAATTTATACTTCAATTTGTTTTAAAAATTAGAAAACAAATAAAATACATGGTTAGTTTGATGGGAATGCTGAGATGCTGAAGATTTTTTATTTTGTTTTATTTTACACAGATCAGTGCTATTTGACACATAAAGGTTTACATGGTGTAGAAATGCAATCAGAAAGTCCAAGAATTAATGGATGACCACCCCAGTAGTTTGCAATGGGTTGCTCTCTAGGCTGTTGAGATGTTAAGAACTAAAAAGGCGGCTACTACCAAATGATCTATGTGAGAGAAAGACAGAGTGAAGGAAAAGACAGATAGGATTTGAAAGAGAAGAGTTAACCCAAATCAGTCCTTTACATGTGTTAGAATACAGGAAGGTGAAACATCTGCTGTAAGAAAGAGCGGGGGATTCATTAAGGTTCATCCCATCCAGATAGTCTTGGATTGAGGCAAGGCTACAAATCAAGAGGAAATCTGTCTTTGCCAGTCTGCATTTGGAAGTTTTCTATTAAGTAAAAAATTGTAAGTTATACGAGCATGTACATTTGTCTCCAACCACTCCAGGCTTTATTTAATATGCACAGCAATTTTTTTTATCCTAAAAATAAAGTTCAAAGAAATGTGGAAAATCAAAATGTTATTAATTGCTATAATGGTATTCCTACAGTTTTCAGTGGCTCACTTCTGAACCACCATGCTGGAGTCAGATATCCAGTCAAGGCTTGGCATTTCCAGAGGGAAACTTCAGTAGCAATCAAAATGAGAAAGTGCTGACAATTCATGAATCATATAAAGCTGTACTGCGTTTTAGCCTAATAACAATTATTTATATAAAACTCCCATTATAATATGACTGTTGAAATGCAACTAGAAAGCCAGCTCTGGCACTGCAATATTATCAGTATATTTTGATGAGGCTGGAAAATATGCCATTTTCTTTTTTTCTCTCTCTCTCACTCTTTTTTTTTTTTCTCTAGGATTTTCTTTCTAGAATATAATGATTTAGATGCCTTTATGGTAATTTTATGTATGCAATTTCATGTGTGCATTTTGAGATCTTCCCTTCTCCAGTCCCTCTATTCCAGTGAGAAAGGCCAACCAGTTTGTGAGAAGCTGCTGTTCCTGAAAGCAGTGATTCCCGTGGCAGCAATTACTGCGGCTTCTCACCTAGGATCAATCCACAGAGAAATGGATAAGGAGGGAGAAGGAAGGAGGCACTCATAAAAAGTGTTGTTCTAGGCTTCCATGAGTCCTCTACCTCTTGTTACTTCTGACTGGTTTTATTTTATGCAAGTAAATGTGGACCAGCCATCTTTTTTTACAGTTACTCTGTTTTCTAGAGCTGTCTATGTCCTGTGTCTGAATGATCTTCACAATAGGTTGAAACCCAAAGTGATTACCTTCAGGATGAGCAAAGCATGGGACATTTCAGCTCCAGAAAGGATAGCTCTAAAAAAATGTGAAAAATGATTCTTGTGTTTCTGAGCTGTATCGTTTGCTCCTCAAATGACGATGCAGAAGGCAAGACTCACTGGCTGCAACAGAAATATTTGGATTTGCCCTGATGGAGGGTCTGGCCCCATGGGGACAGCTCTGGTAGAAGCTCCTGACACTGTCAAGCTTTCCCAGGCGCATTTGTTTTCCTTTTTTACAGGCAAATGCGCCAGCACAGAAAATCAGAGCATGTCCTGGTGCAGCTGAAGAAGGGAAGTGATACGTCCAGAAAAACAGTGGGAAAAGAGCCGCAAGACACTTCATTCATTGGATATTACGACTTTTATTTGCTAAAAGCATATCTCCTGGGAATTTTGCTAATCTGAATTTGAAAACATAGAGAAGCCTGCACGTTCACCTCCTGCTTTGTTCCAATGCTAATCAGCCACAAAGTTAAAAAGAAATATGTATCTTTTTTCTGCCAAGTTTGAATGTGTTGACTTCAGTTTCTTGTTTTGGATTCTTGGACCTTTCTTCAGTAGTTAAGACAAGGTCCTTTGCTACTCTATCGTCTTTTTTCTCTCTCTATGTAGTTATATATGGAAATGAAGACATCTCTGGATTCTTTTATATATGTATGTATGTATGTATGTATGTATGTATACACACTATACATAGATTTATATTTCTCTCAATCAGAAGTTTTCATCATCCCAGTATCACTTCTGTGGCTCTTTACATGATATCAAGGTTTAGTTTCAGCAGGGGGACTCTGGACTACACTCAATATCCTAGTATCGATCTCATCCATGCCATATATACAGCTAAAATAATCTTCACACTTACTGGTCCTCTGCGTCTCTTGTGCAAGATCATATTCCTGGCACTTCTGATACTGCATCACTGTAAGAGCTCAAGGTAAGCTATTTATCTGCTATATTCCCAAAACTTTTTGATGTTTTTCAGGGAGCCTTCAGTAGTGAAACAAACACTCACTGGGTTGTACAAAATGCATTTTATTTGCGGTTGGCCCACAGCCAATAATTCAGGTTACCCTCTATTACTGTCTTCTCATTTGACCAACTTTTGTGTTATCTGCACGTTTCAATAGCGGTGACTTTATGTGTTTCTAAATTACTCAAAAATTGTGAAAAGCGTATGACCGGTCTCTGGAGAACCCCACTAAAAACATTTCAGTTCAGGAGGATTTCTTCCTTAATGACTACATTTTCTGACAGTTCAGACAGTTCTTAATCCATGTACTCTCTTGATATTACATAGCAGTGTTTTATTTTGTCTTTTTTTAATCGTAATATTTCATGTTACTAAATGCCTTATAGAAGAAGTACACATATGTTACATACATAGAATTGCTTGTACCAACGACAATTTATAATCTCATCAAAGGAAGAAATCAAGTTTACTTGACAAGACCTACTTTCCAAGAGAAGAAGTAAAGAACTCTATACCATATTTTACTGAAACAACAGGAGAGTTTAAGTAGGAGGAAATAATTACTTCAGCTGAAATCTAGCCAGACTGTAGAAGAAGAAATTTTCTAAAAAGTTAAGTTTGTGATGAAGAATGAGATAGGAAGAGATGGGGTTTTTTTCCACTGGTTTTCACAACTATTGTTTTATTAACATGGAGAACTTGGTTCTCATTTACTCTGAGAACAAGAAGCACGAATCTGGCTCTAAAGCAAGATATAAAATGAATGCAAAGTACATTCAGGCCTACTCTGAAGCTGCTTTACACAAAGAGATTAGCAGAAGTGAAAATAATATCCATTATGTATGCCTTACCTTGCCACTCTTCCACGCAGGTCTCCAAAACCCTGGATATATTTACGGTCCAAACTCTGAACAACAAAGTTAGTTTTGATTGTGGCATTATCCCTTGTTCTTATATGCGTTTCCAAAACCTGTAAATTCAAACCCATTAATGCACTTTCGGTTTTACACTTTTTTCATTCTTTTATTTCAAAACACAGTTCAAAGCACCATGTAAGGCAATAGCTCTAAAAGTTTGTTTTTCTTTCTAGGAGGAAGTAAATGGTGTGGTTTTTGTTTTTGTTTTTGTTTTAGAAATCTATATCTATGCAAATTATATGCCTATCTTTCCATTAAAAATGTGATTTTTGTTGAAAAGTCTAGCACTTAAAAATTAAGAAAAGCAAAAGTTTAAACCGCTTAACTCTCCCCCTCACACATGTGCAATACATGCAGTCCTTAATAAATAGCGTACTGTTTTTTCCGTAGGGTTCCCTTTCAACAAGGATGTTTTGAGGAAGGAGTCAATAGCTAAACTGACCTTTCTGCAGCAGCCGTGGGGCATTGCAGCAAGGCTTTGCAGGGTGGATACTGCAGAACAGAGCTGAGCACAGATACTGCTGCCCTGAGCTCAGGTAGCAAGGGTGCAAACACGTAGGTCCACACTAAGGGCCCCCCATCGACATGCTCTCTGCGTGGCTAAGCAGGGCTCTTAACACACATTTCCTAGCATCTGAACGCGGGGCAGGTTTGGGCTCAAGCGAAGGCGTGTGCCTACTGTGCATACGCATTGCAGACTAACTCTTCAAGTCCATAATATCGATGTGGCTCAGTATAAGCAGTCATTTAATGTGTTGTTTTACGCTCATTATTCAGCATATGTCCTGCCACCTGATTAACGGCACAGTATTACACATTTGCTCTGAGGATAGAACCAGTAACCTCCCTGCAGGCTCCCCTGGGGTGGCTCATCGCGACAGTGTCTGAATGTATCTGAATCACAAACACTAATTTTAAGAAGCCCTTGTGGAGTTAGTGTACCCTTTTATGGACAGGGAACAGAGTGATTTTTAAAACCTGCTGATTTTACTGCTCAGGTTGAGAGGAGAGGCCTGGAGTGAATATTTTAGCATACCTTAGCACTACAGAGCACACCAGCCAGAGCACAACTTTTACCCTTTTTAATGCAAATATTTATGCAAAATAAAGTCTTTTTGGCTTTTTATTTGAAATGATCCACACTAAGTGATTAAAAAAAAAAAAGTAGGGAAA